TTTGTATATCAAAACCTTTCAACATGTGGAACATTGCAGATTATTTCAACGAAATTCGAAACTTCAAATTTATCTGCAAACTTATTAAATCTAAACCCGCTCAAAATCCGTTTACATGCATGTCACGCGGCTACCCTATTACAGGCAGTTTTCACTGCAACAATATCTTGTCCAGCCTTCTTGATTCAACATAACAGGGTGGAACTCTCTCTCTCTCAGAATCGTTTTACGTTCACTTTGAACTGAAGATGAGTTATTAAATATTCTTCTTGGAGGACCACCACTTACACTCTTGTCCGCAGAAAAAAGAAATTAATTTAAAAAACTGAAATACGTACACATCGTCTCCTTCTGTGCACTCTACAACAGACAATGCAATCACAGATTTGTAAATGAATACCCCCCCCCTCCCTCCTTGCTTGATTTGGCTATCCGTTACAGAAAATAGTGTATAATATATGTAAAATTTTATTTTTACAGTTTTCGCGTATTTTTGTTTTATCATTATTTTTTTTCTTTCTATTTTTTTTTTACTTACAATATGTATTCCTTTTTTTCTTCTCACATTGTGATTGAGTTATAATTTATATGATTGTCATGTCAAAAATCTCTAATAGAGGAAATGAAAGATGAACGAACTGGAACATTGTAACAAGTAAAATTACAGACTGATTTGTCAATTAAACATTTAAAAAGAGTGATAGGAGAATCATTTTTTTTTGACAATTGACCTTTTAACAAATAAAATAAACTAAGGCTTAAATTGACAAAAAGGAGTCGTTTTTCCAAAGATGAGACTTGATCCAGTGCTAAGGTCATTTTAGAAATATTCAAGGTCTAAAGACTACAACTGTATTCAAATATATTTCAATTACATTGCTATAATTGAAACATTTAAGTAGACAAAATTTGTGTCTGAAAGATATTTTCTAAATGTAACATAGGAAAATGTGAACTAGATAAGCTTATAAAATATTTACAATGCAGATGTTTTTGTATATAAAATTAATGGAAATTCAGGTATTGTATTTAAACCACCATAACAATATGCAAAAGGTGAAAGGAAAAAGCATGCAAATTATTTTGACTAAATTTTATTTTTTTCCTCAATATGCTTTAATATCTTTTTTTCATTTACAGTGGCTGTTTGCAGTAAAATATACCTTTTTAAAAATTACATGTAAGGAGTGTTCAGAAAGTTCGTTCGGGGATGAAATATTTTCAAAAATTTCAAAGTACTGCTTAACTAAAGAGATGAATTTTCAAGTTTGACAAAATCACAAGAACGTGCTTTAGATTTAAAGCAATTCACTTCTAGCAGGGAACTATAGAATTTTTCCTTCAAATGGTTATATATATACATAACATCTTTAAAGAAGCCGAATTATAGAAATGCCTGTCATATTTAATGAAAATAAAGGATAATTTACATTTACACAATGTACTTCTGTTTCTTAATAGCTTATCTGCAAGATGATGAGCGTAGGTATAAGAACGACAGATCACTTTTCAAAAGAAAAGGGCCCCGTGGGGATCCGGGTTAGAATAGGTCCTCAGTACCCCTTGCTTGTCGTAAAAGGCGACTAAATGGGGTGGTCCTTCGGATGAGACCGTATAAACCAAGACCCCGTGTCGCAACAGGTGTGGCACGATAAAGATCCCTCCCTGCTCAAAGGCCCCGAGTGCCGAGCATAGGCCCTAAATTTGCAGCCCTTCACCGGCAATGGTGACGTCTCCATATCAGTGAAATACTGTAGATCACTTAATTTTCGCGACACCTTTCTTTCGCGAGATAGTCAATGACTCTTTATTAGCGAGACAAAATTTTCACGAATTGTGGTCATTGCTCTATATAATCTTAAGGAATTCTATTATACGCGAGAATGAAATTTTCGCGAGCATACCGTCTCGCGTAATTACGCGAAAATAAAGTTCCCGCGAATAAAAAGTGATTTACAGTATTCTGGAGAGGGACGTTAAACAGTATATAATCAATCAATCAAAAGAAAAGGTTTGTCATTTTGAAGTTTTCACAGATATGATAATTTTTGCAAAGTATTTGGAAGGATGTTTTGACCTGTGTGATTAATTTATGTCACACATATGCGGCATCACTTACTTTTATAAACAGGCACCGTCTGTTTTGATGCCTGTCACCCCTTATTGATTAAACAAAAGACAGTTAAAAGCTTATCAGCAGCAAGAATGGACTTTATTAACACGAAATATCACAAATTGTAAATATCTTATCGTCATATTTCTTTTCGAAAATAAAATAAAAATATGGAACTAACTTCCATAACACCCTTTAATAAAAGGTATTGTGCTTAATGAGATTTGCTCCACACCATCCTGGAAGGATTTATTAATTCTTTAAGTTTTTGACAAGAATTTACTACGCAGATATATAGATTTATATAGAATATATTTTATAGAACTGTTGCCCAAAACACAGGCACACTTTCCTCGTATTTATCGGATTTATGACTATGTATAGTTTCCAAATCTTCTAATGCATGGATAAACATTTACCCTACTAAATTAATTAGTGAGAATGAATATTCATTTTGTTAATTAAAGTTATTCTCTATATCTTTGTTTTTCAGAAGAAAACAAAGAAGTCCAAGTGCCAAATAGATGATTTTCAAAGGGAGAAGGATATTGTGATCTTTTTTATATTCAAACTGTGACAAATCTTCTCTGTAAGGAAGACTTTTATTGACTGTGTGGATGTTAAAGACCAGTTCATGGGTTACATTAATGAAAAAGTTTAAATTAATTAAAACTGTAGGAAGTATAATGGTTTTGATATTGTAAAAATAATTTCTTAATGCTTTAAAAGATTTGTTAGAAATGTTCTGAAAACGTTTTTAAAAATGTCTTGAAAACGTTTTCAAAAATGTTTTCAAAACATTACAGGACAATGTTTATAAAAAAACGTTATGATAACGTTTAGAAAACATACAAAATAACTTTGTAATAACATTTAAGAAAATGTTTTAATAACATTTTGAAAACGTTTTTATAACGTTTTGATAACGTTATTGTGCGACTGAGGTTTAAATTCATGGCCATAACAAAATTATTTTTTTGTATATCTATTTCAAAAAATTAAGTGGTAGATCAATATACGAGGGTTGTTCGAAAAGTTCGTGGACTACTGTCATATCTTTTTTATTTGACGTCATATGTTATCCAAATTTCGTAGAAACATTTTAACAATAAATCCAAAGGATATGAATTAAATTTTTTTTAAATACCACGATTTTTTCAAAACTTATCCAGAATTTAAAAATGCAAAAATCGTATCGCGGAGCAGGTCAAAATTTAGTAAGTTACGAACAAACACTATATAATGTCTGAAGTCATATTCTCTGTAAAATGATGCAAAAAGGAAAAACAACCGAGAAATCCAAATTTAGAATTGATAAATCGATTTCTATTCCAAATCATGGCTTAATATTTTGCTTTGTTGAAAAGAAATCAACTTGAGAAGATAGGCAGTCCTCGTTAAAAACGACAAAAACGATGACGTTTTAGAACGTCACGGAGCAGCCGATAACGATACAATTTTGTCTTTTACTCAGGAAAAATCTTGAATAAACTAAAAAATACTGAAGGAATCAAGAAAATATGTCACAAGCGAGTTGTACATGTGTGTACAAATCGTATAGGCAGTATTTGAGTGACAGAGACTTTGTATGAGGTGAGGACAATCTGCGAAGAAAAACGTTTATCTGTAAAAATCTTAACAAAAACTTTAAAAAGTTCGAACGTCAAGTAAAGACATGGGTGCTTTAGAGTTGCCTACCCTGTGAAAGCAAAGTTAAGTAATAAAAGAAATTAAAACCATAACAGAGGAAATAATACACCGAAAGCAATTCTTAAAAAATGAATTTCAAGTATTAGAAAAGGGATCAATGATTGGGCATTCGATTACACTTTGTGAAATGTATAGGAATAGTATATAAATTTTAGAAATTCTCGACACTATATTGTGACGTTACATTGTCGTTAAGGGTGCTCCGCGGGTACAAAACATGCTGATTTTAAAATGACGTAGATTGATTTCTGTTAAATGGAATGGAATGAAACATCACACATCAGCAAAACAAATGTTTTTACATATTACATTATCCTTATTTTGAATTTCTAATGAGTTATATAACGAAGATTGACATCGTCCACGAACTTTTCGAACAACCCTCGTACTTCCCTAATGGTTGATTATGATATCAAAAGAAATAACATTTCCAGAACAGATGTCATAAGACAAAGTCAGGGTTGTAAAGTTTAAAGAAACTTCTCAAGAAAATCTGATTATTCAATGTTTGATAGTATCTAGAGGACATGCTTGGTATACAGCTGCTTATGTCCAAGAAATATTAATCCCACTTAAGGACATTTAAGATAGTAATAGTTAATAAAAAAAAGGATATTTTTCTATTTTGCATTTCAATTACCTTATAGATTGTTTACTCTAACATTTGTATTTTCAGTTTTACTACAATTGTACCAAAAATGCCTCAACAGAATCCTCATGCTTAAAAAATTTTATGTGACGAGAACCGGACAAAGAAGACAGACAAAGATCAATGGTTTCAGTTTTCAATGTAGAAGTTGGTGTCACAAATGTCTTTATTAGTCCCCTCCCGGTGAAACCGGGGGGGGGGGGACTATAAGTTTCCTCTGCGTCCGTCCATCCGTCCATCAGTCTGTCTGTCCGTCCGTCCCTCTAGCTGTCCGTCCGTCCGTTTGTCTGTTACGCTTTGGGGTACCTATATCTTATCCGTAACTCCTCTTATATACAACTGAGTGAAATTTAATGAAACTCTCGCAGAGTTCTTAATTACAAATTGCCATTTTGCACCTCCTATTTCACTTTTTGATCCGACTCGTATATCCGGCCAGAGAAATACATCGACTTTGCACTTATAATCATTTGGGAGGCGGGGGTATCATTAAGCGACCTCATTATGCTCACAGTACCTCTAGTTTTTTATTGGACAGACATCATCTATTTATAATATGAATCTGTACCACAAAAGCCCAATATGTCGACTAAATGCAGCTCACCCCCAGAACACATTAGGGGCCAACCGTTTGATTTTTCTCGCACTGAAACGAGAAAAGATAAAATAGCATGTCATAACATGAAACAAATACTTTAAGAAAATCTTTTAAGATAAAATGCATACAAGGGGCAAATTAAGAATTATAATATTTGCAATTCAATACTATTTTCAACAATAACAACAAAAAAAATCCAAAAAGAAGAACTATTTACATGTACATCATGACCCCTCTATCTCCTTTCGGCCCATCGGGATACCTCGCACTGAAAGGAAAAAAATAATATATAGATCATTACACAAAAAAGATGGGTTATTTCCAATTTGAAATTCAATTGTCGTTTTTAACATAAACATCATCAACACACACTCAATAATAATAATAATAATAATAATAATAATAATAATAATAATAATAATACAAAAAAAATTAAATCATGACCCCTCTATCTTGTTTTGGCCCCTGGGAATCCCTTGTAAAGAATTTGAAAATTGTATTACAAATAAAAAGGGAGTATTTCTATTTTGAAGTTCAGTTCTCTTTTTAAAAAACAAAACAAACAAACAAGAATGATGAGATAAAATATTTACATCATGACCCCTGTATCTTGTTTTGACATATCGGAATCCCTCTTACTGAAAGAAAAAATAAAGTGATAATTAAGTGTCATTACTCAAAAACATAAATTATATCCATTTTGAACTTTTTTTTAAGTAAGTAATACTTATAAGAAAGAAAAGCTATATTCATGAAACAATAAGAATTTTATTTTCTATATTCCTTTATTTATAATTTGATAGTGAAAAAGAAAGAAAAAAATCCAACAACATAAAAGGATCTTTTTAATTACATAACGAAGAATCGGTCATCTAACCAATCAGTTCCACGTCTCCTCCCTTGTGTTAGATTCAGCGATAAAAGAACCTTGGGAGAAAAAATGAAATACATTCATGAAAATTAAGATGTTTTAATAAGCATTTAATAAATCATATTGTTTATATATTAAGATCAATTACTTTCAACATAGGATACTTTTCTTATTCCTGTAAGAAAATTGTTAAATACAAGAGACTGTGCATAAAAAGAAAAAAAAACAGTTACTTACGTTTGGAAAAAATAATGTATATAATGAATTAATTTACTTATTCCTGATTAAATATATTGCTAAGCATGATTTATTCTACTAAAAACTGTACAAGTAACGTTTAATAATCACTTCTTACTATCAAACTTCCAAGGCCAGATCACTATTACGAGGACAATTATTTAAATAATTCGATGATTCAAATACCTTTTGACATTTTTAAGAAAGGTGAATAGACATTTGTGCTAGTAAATTATTAAATTTTATAAGTATTAAATCTAATTAAAAAAATAAGAGTACATGTGAATACTATGCAAAGAGCCAGCGAATGGACAAATTCAATAAAATGTAATGAATAACGAATTCAAAGTATAATCTAAACCATGTTATTCAAAACGTGTGTTATTGCAGTGACATATTGAAAAAGGTTTTGATCAAATGTTAGCAGATTAACAAAGATAAATCTCTTCATTGTCTATCTTCAGAAACAATTAGATATGAAGTATTAAACGATACTACATTTACCTTGACTACACCGTAGTTGTTGACGACATATAGATCATGTAGATATTAGGCTTAGTATTGTTATTTCAGATTATAAATAATTATCTGTATATGGACTTTGATAAACGAAAAAATGCCAATGTTTGAGACTTAATGAGATACAAGTTTGGCTTTCAAGAAAGCCTTAAATGTCATCTCTTTGGCTTCATTTATTTCACAGAATAAACAGTGATGTGTAACTTTTTTCTTCAGCTATTGCATACATGTTTATTTCTATTCCTCCATGGAAGGGGAGTGGTAGTTTACCTGGACAATTTTAGATTGGGAAAAAGAGTAACGATCATACTCCAAAACCCTATGTTGTGGATAGGAAGGAAACATTTTAACAAATTTATTTTGGGTGTACATGATTTTACATAAACAAACAGTGTAGATAAAGGAGGGGCTTACAGTGAACAAATACAACAGTTCAAGATAACCAAAAAGGTTAGGGCACATATTTGTAGATCTGATTTTCTTGAATTATCTTTAAAATACCATGATTCATATGTTTCTAAAGCATTTCACACTGAAATATACGTAAATAATCTTTTTAAAAAATCTGGAAATTATCAAAACTTTAAAGTTTTTGACACGTTTCATGGACATATATCTCACACTTTCACAAAGTAAATTTAATCCATACTATTTAAGGTACATCGATACTCGGATAAGAGAGAAAACTCTTAATGACTAAAGTGTCTATTATCCATTTATAAATTTGTCAAGTTGAACAGTCTTTTTCTAAATTTTGCCCCAAAAGCCATGCAATAATTGTTTGAATTTAATTTCACATTTCCATGTCCTTTGGATAATCATAAGAAAAATATATTTTTTCAATGTAAAAAAATTGTCTGTCTTGAAAAAAATAATAAACTGCTTGATTACGTGTTATCATTATGCTATTTTAAGAGAAAATATTTCATAAAATAGCGATCATCAATTCGATGTTTAACTTTATGAATGGTACCTCCTTTCTTTTACATGTACAAATGTATAGCAGTAAATAAAACATAATTGTTTGATCAACAAAACGAAATTCAAATTTAGCCAAATAACTTACCGTTAAACAAATGTAGAACTTTATCATCATGGCCCTTGGCTTTCGAAATAGCACGCTTACAATTGCTGTATGTATATATACCCTGCTACGTTCATCGAAAATAGGGAAAATTACTCTTTCACTATATTTGGAAATTTTCTGAAAAGGGAAGGTTGTTTATTTAAAAAATGATATATAATGTTTAAAAAAATAGAAATAGTGAAGATCGTCAATACGTGGTTTTGATCTTTCCAGATAAGAAACATCTGTTCCGTGTAGATTACAACATGCATTTAAAAAATAGCATTTCATGATAAATTAGTGTTCAGAATACAACATATGGAAAATGACACATCAGAAAATGTTTCTTCCTTTCCTAGAACAACAATGAAAAAATTAAAGATTTTCTCCTCGTGCAAAAATTAACAGTTGCGACAGTCCCTGAAACGTTCTACTTTCCCATCTGAACGGTGAACGAACGCTGAACGAATGCAGAGCGAACCTTGAGTGAACGATGTGCGAAAGCTGAACGCAATTTGGTGAACGAAGTGTGAACGGTGAGTGAACGCAGATCGCAAACGCAAGTGCAACGTGAACAGTGAACGAACGGTGAACGCAAGATAAACGATATATTTGGAATGCCTCAGATATTTTCCTTGCATTGAAATAATTCAATTATTCTATAATTTAATTTCAGGTGCTTCAAAATAAATAAACAATAGAGAAATAAATAAATAAATAAATAATCAAAACATTTTTGTACATATACATGAATGTACCTATGTTTTAAATCGATATTTTATAACACGATTTTAATTGCCGTAAAACATGAGCATTTGTTACCGAAAGCGTGCAGTTAAGATATAAAATTTATTTATATAAAATTTATTTATATATAATTTATTTATATATAATAATATATATGCTTATTCTTTTCACTAATAAAATAATGTGGACTTTAGAAGATAAATCTACTACTTATAGAATGAATTAATTACATTGTACCCGGTTGAAACAACCATACATGTATTTCCGTTGCAAGGCGATTCTGAGTAAAATAACGGATTTATTTAAAAATTAACAATTGTCTGTTGACGTATTGCATACATGTAAAAACACTCGTATTTTAAAATACTAATGCAAAATATTCTATATTTATGTGACATTTTTATTGCTCTATGATGATCATTTAGCTAACTTCTACATGTATCTGTAGACATTTCCCGGCCGTGATTATACTCGGTTAAGATAACGGAAAGAGGCAGTGAAATTATTTGTAATCATAGATGAAATTTTCAATACTAAATAAGCAATGTCCTGTCATTGTTTTTATTAAACAGAGAAACGTACGAGAGAGAGAGAGAGAGAGAGAGAGAGAGAGAGAGAGAGAGAGAGAGAGAGAGAGAGAGAGAGAGAGAGAGAGAGAGAGAGAGAGATACCCCCTCGATTCTCAGATATCTGTTTTATCAAATAAAAATTCTTATTATTTTTCCCAGATATTCCAAGCAGTAAAGTTAATCAAATTTTTAATGCCCTGTTCAAAAGACAAATTTAATTCGCAGTAAATTAATGCGAAGTAAACTAATGCGATTCAAACTAATGCGCATTAAATTGCGTTCACACGACAGCTAATGCAAAGTAAACTAATGCGAATTAAAATTTTACTTCGACAGTCAGGCGTGAGGTTGTTATGACGTCATTTGAAAATCACGTCACCTTATGCAGAAGCAGATGCATTTGACATAATGTCACAGTGTCTGGAGACATATTTTAGTGATAAACACATTTTTTCTTAGTTTTTCACTCAAAAATAGCACAAGTACTTAAAGCTGACCACCGACAAGACGCATTTGACTTAATTTTGCCATTACGCATGCCCCAAAATTTAATTCGAATTAGCTTCGCTTAGCGTTCACACGGAGCTAATGCGAAGTAATTTAATGCGCAGTAAACTAATGCGAAGTAAACTAATTCGCATTAAATTCTCCGTGTGAACGCTAAGCGAAGCTAATTCGCAGTAAACTTACGTTTAATTCGAATTAAACTCTCCGTGTGAACAGGGCATAAGATTAACAAATCAGTTTGACAGTAATCATCGGCTTCTATTTTCCTTCATCAAGTTCACAGGGTTCACGGGAAGTCCACGTGCTTGTCCTGTCGATCAAAATAATTCGACAGAGTGGAAGTGTAAAATCGCGTTTCACCGAACATACTTAAGGCAAAGAGTCGCTTTCCAAGGATTTCCAAGAAGTTTTAATATTTTTCCCAATCATTTCTAGATCTGATTTTTTGCATTCCTGTAGAAAATAAATAAATACATAATGGGAATATATACTTGGAAGGATTCAGTTTGAAATTGAAATTGAAACATATTCCCTGTCAATTTAAAATACTACTGTCGACACATGTCTATTCTAAAATACTTTTGTTTAATGACTGTTTCATGTTGGTTTTAAGGTTGTACAACATCAGGTCTAACGTTCAATTGAAATCGCAAGAGTTATCTCCCCCAATGTGTTGTACGTCTTTAAGACTGATTTTCTTTGGTTACAATACACATTAAATATTAACTAAAATATACGAAAATATTCACTAAGAATTTTAGTTTAGGGAAAATGCACGGGGGGGGGGGGGCAACGTCGCAAACCACGGCCAAAATGTACGCTCTTCTCCCATCTGGCCGTGGTTGAACGAGAATAAAATTCTTCGTAGCTCATTAAGATATTGATCAATGCGAGTAAAGCATAGTCGGATGATGAACTTTATCGCGACCTTTCAATATCCAATCGCAGCATAAGAAATAGTTCTTGTATACTGTTAACGTCCGCTGTGGATTTCAATTGCGATCGAAACAAAACTTGCCACTGACTGAATATGACGTCACAAAAAAGGGCATAAATATCAAGTTTACGGCACGTTTTTGTGATCAAGCAGCCACGGGTAGGAGAGAGCTATATATGCAGACTCCGGACTGTGGCTTGAGATGTAGGAGAGAGCTATATATGCTGATTCAGGACCGTGGCTTCAGACGATGAGGGGGGAGGGGGGTCTTAATTATACTGAATGGCAAACATATATTTATGTACGGTAAAGGAATGAATTTTCCTTCCACTATAATAGACCTAACGTAAAGTACCAAAAATTCGATAGTATTACATTTTAAACAGTTGGTCTTTTCTAAAATTTAAAATCACACAATCAATTTAATTAGCTCTAAAGATATTTAATTAACTGAATATCTGCAGTACTGTTCATA